AAGCGGCCACTGCACTCCAGTCTGGGCGATCGAGTGAGACTCCAACTCAAAAAAAAAAAAGAAGTTCTTGCTGAATTCCAGCCTGAGGTAATAGCATTGTTTTACTTTAACTCTTCAAGTTCTTTGACACAATATGTTTAATGTCTAATTTCTGCAAATATTTTCCTAACCTCCACTACTGAATGTACCTATGTGCTGGGCATATAAAACCTCCAGGGCAGGAGACAACAGCTCTTTGCAAGATAAACATGTCTCCCTACAGATGGATGGCTTCTGTGTGTAGACTTTGTTCTTCAGTCACATTGAGAAAAGGTGTGGTAGTTACTCTGGCTATTAATACTGCTTAGATGGGGTATCTGAGAGCAGACTGCTCAAGACATGTTTTCAATTTGTAGAAAAATTAATAATCCATGTTTTCATGCTCAGCCAGCAGCATCCGGGTTCTTTCTCATTGCCAAGGTTAGCACTGTAATTTTACACCATCCTCCTTCTCTGACCTGGAGGGAAGGAAAAAAGGTACAGAGAGGGCATCCTTTCTGAAGCAGCTGAGGGAGAGCCACAGCAGCATGCAGACCTAAGTCATCCTGCTCACTTCATTTTTCTTCCTTCCTGCAGAAGCTTTCGAGATCGCTCTGCCTCAAGGAAGCGGCATTACAGTTGTCATAATGCCTGTGACCCCAACTCCACTGGTGAAACTCTGTTATATTGTCGCTTCTAAGCAACATGTAACCATGCTGTCCATCAAACCTGGAGAAAAAACAATCTTCACCTTTAGCTGCCAGAAACCAGAGAATCACTTTGTCATAGAGATCCAGAAGAATATTGGTAAGTGTGCATTTGTGAGCTGTTTGGCAATGTCTTTTAAACGTCTCTGCATGTCCCTGTTTCTTTTTCCAGTATTAAGCCAGCCTCCAATGCTAGAGAGATAAGATCTGTTCTGAAATGCTGCCCTCTCTTTATTTAGCTCTGATGTGGCCAGTCCTGGTTCTAAGTGCTTTACTGGGGTTAATTTGCTTAATCTTTTAGTCCCAGCACTTTGGAAGGCCGAGGTGAGAGGATTCCCTGAGCCCACGAGTTTGAGATCAGCCTGGGCAACTTGGCGAGACCTCATCCCTACAGTAAATCAAAAAATTAGCCGGGTGTTGTGGCACACACCTGTGGTTCCAGCTATTTAGAAGACTGAGGCTGAAGGATTGCCTGAGCCCAGCAGGTCAAGGCTGCAGTGGCTGTGTGCATAACACTGCCCTCCAACCTGGGAGGCAGAGTGAGAGACTCCAACTCAAAAACAACAACAACAACAAACAGCTCTCTGAGAAGTTCACAGAGAGGAACTTGCCCAAGCTGGTACAGACAGTATGGAACAGACCAGGAGAGGAAACTGGGTACCCTGGCTCTTGGGTCTTTGCCTGTAATTTCTCTGGCACAGTTCTCTTCATGGAGAACTACAGAGGCTCACCAGCTACAGATCTTCAGGTGTGATGCTATCTCATGTGCTAGAAACATCTCCCAAAAGTCAAGGAAGTCAGAAAACAAAATAATCAGAAGGTTGAGATAAGGGTAGGGCAATGGATACACAAGGCACAATGAAAAAAACAGCAGCTTGGGGAGCAATTGCGATAGGATTAGCTTCAAGTTGCAGGGCTACTGGTCATGTGACCTGATCATGTGACTTTATATGAGTTACTCATCTGCTTTGTGCCTTAGTTTTCTAGCCTAGGCATCATACCAAATGATAGAGTTGTTATAAGAATGAAATAAAATAATGGATTGAAAATGTTTGACATAGCCAGGCTCGGTAGCTCAGCCTGTAATCCCGTGCTTTGGGAGGCTGAGGTGAGTGGATTGCCTGAGCCCACGGGTTAGAAACCCGCCCGGGCAACTTGGAAAGACATCATCTCTACAATAAATCAAAAATTAGCCAGGCGTGGTAACGCGCCTGTCGTTCCAGCTACTCGGAAGGCTGAGGCGGAAGGATCGCCAGAGCCCAGCAGGTCGAGGCTGCGGTGGCCGGGAGCGGCCACTGCACTCCAGTCTGGGCAACAGAGTGAGACTTCAACTCGGAAAAAAAAAAAAAAGAAAACGTTTGACATGTAAGAATTCAACAAGCTATAGATATTTGTTATTATTATTCATAATTTGAGCTTGGGATAGGAGATTGATATGGGAAGTAATAATCAGGCAGAAAAAAGCTACATTTTCCCAATCATTTTAAGGTGTTCATGCCAAAAAGGATTAGTAGATGTAGTAATTGATGTATTAACTAACAATAAGAATGCTGTTTTTGATCTAATCAAAGCCATACTTTAGAAAGAGGGAATTCATAAGTAAAAGGAAGAATTGAGATATTAAGGAGCAGTTTTGGCCAGATGTGGTGGCTCTTGCCTGTAATCCCAGCATTCTGGGAGGCAGAGGCAAGAGGATTGCCTTAGTCCAGGGGTTCGAGACCAGCCTGGGCAACTTGGCAAGACCTTGTCTCTACAATAAGTCAAAAAATTAGCCAGACATGGTGACATGCTCCTGTCGTTCCAACTACTTGGAAGGCTGAGGCAGAAGGATCACCTGAGCCCAGCAGGTTGAGGCTGTGGTAGCTGTGAGCATGCCACTGCACTCCAGCCTGGGCAACAGAGTGAGACTCCTACTCAAAAAAAAAAAAAAGAAGAAGAAGCAATTTTAGGCCAGGCATGGTGGCTCATACCTGTAATCCCAGGACTTTGGGATACTGAGGCAGAAAGATCACCTGGGGCCAGTAATTCAAGACCAATTTGGGCAACATTTAAAAAATAGAGAAAAGTAGTTTTAAAAACTGTATTTGATGACTAAAGCCAATACCTGGTTCTCTGCAAAAACTAGTTAAATGGACTATCTCTAACTAGTCTCATGGAAAAAAGAAAGAAAAAAATGATAGCATTTAAAGTATAAAAGCTGATTTAATTATAAATACAGAGACTTTCTAAAATTGTCAGAGACTATATACATTATGATAATAAATGTGAAAATGTGAAGGAAATTGATGATTTTCAAGGAAAATTTCCTGGACCAGATTGACTCACAGAAAGGTAGGAAACCTGAATATGTCAATAACCAATGAGGAGCTCAGAAAAAACACCTGAGATAGGGGAGAGCAGGGTTTGCATGGGTTAGAAATCATTTTACAGATGAGTTCCATAAAACTTCAAGGAGCAGATCATTTCTGGGATATTCAACCTATTTTAGAGGCAGATTGGCAAACTTTTTCTGTACAATGTCAGATAGAAATATGTTACGCCTATGGGCCAGGTGGTCTCTGTCGCAGCTCCTTCACTCTGTGTCACAGAAGGAAACTAGCCATAGACAATACAGAAGCAAATGGGCAAACCAATTAATGGAATGCTTTCCATGATTATATTAGAGAGAAAAAGTATATATGATCATCTTAAAAGATTATTTTAAATGTCTGTAATAAAGCACTCTTAGTAAACCCAACTTAGAGGATGCTTTCTTAATTCAGTAAGGTGTACCTATTAAGAACTGAGAGCAAATGCCATATTTAGCAATCAGATGTGGAAGCATTACCAATAGAACAGGTGATAACATAAGGAGTTTCATTATGCATGCTCTTGGTCACCATTCTTCCAAACTTCTAATTAAATATTTAGGGATAATCTCAAAGTATATGAAGCAAAATATAAAATGTTGCTAAAAGATAAAAGAGAAGACTTAAATAAATGGAGAGGTGAGCCATGTTCCTTTATAGAAAACTGTCAGTTCTCCCCTATAATAATCTATGGGTTTAAGTTAATTTTAATTAAAGTTAAAGAGTTTACAGACCTGAAGAGAAAATTGATATATTTAAGAATCCAGTGGAATGCTGTGTTGCTAATAAAAGAATGACGTTTGTGTAATTGACATGGAAAAAATGTCCAAGATAATTTTGTTCCATTAAGAATAACACAACTTATAGTAGGACGATTGTTTGTATAGTTTGGTCCCATTTTATTAAATATACACACATGCACCTATGCATGCACACAAATACACACACATTATCATACAGAGCCCAGTCTGGAGGGAGAAATACCCAGATGTTAACCTCATGCTAGTTCTGTAGGGAATGAGGAAGAGGGGACAGATGACATTCCTTTTTTTTTGAGTTGGATTCTCACTCAGTTGCCCAGCCTGGAGTGCAGTGGCACACTCACAGCCACCTCAGCCTTGACCAGGTGGACTCAGGCAATCCTTCCGCCTCAGCCTTCCAAGTAGCTGGAACTACAGGCATGCACTACGACACTCAGTTTATTTTTTTATGTATTGTAGAGACAAGGTCTCACCAAGTTGCCTAGGCTGGTCTTGAACCCCCCAACTCAGGCAAATCCTTTTGCCTCAGCCTCCCAAAGTGCTGGGATTACAGGTTAAACCACTGCGCCTGACCAGCACTCATTTTTAAAATTTCTATCCTTCTGTGCTCCTCTTCCTCTTCTTTTTCTTTTTCACAAGCATGAATTACTTTCACAATCAGTTAAACCAATAAAGTGACTTCCATTTTGAAAAAGGGAAAAGATTAGCAAATGACATATCTCACAAGTCATGCATTTGAATACATTCAGTCCCTAGGTGCCCACATGGTTTAAGTAGTAAAAACCTATGCTTAGCCGGGCTCGGTGGCTCAGCCTGTAATCCCGCGCCTTTGGGAGGCTGAGGTGAGTGGATTGCCTGAGCCCACGGGTTCGAGACCCACCTGGGCAGGCGAGACCTCATATCTACAATAAATCAAAAAAAATCAGCTGGGCGTGGTAGCGGCGCCTGTAATTCCGGCTACTCGGAAAGCTGAGGCAGAAGGATCGCCGGAGCCCAGCAGGTTGAGGCTGCGGTGGCCGGAAGCGGCCACTGCACTCCAGTCTGGGCGACAGAGTGAGACTCCAACTCAAAAAAAAAAACAAAACCAAAAAACACCTATGCTTACAACTTTTTAAAGTGATATGAAAATATCAATTTTTTAAAATAATAAATCTAGGCACTGAATGGAATCCAGTGGTCTGCTTACCCTACATTTCCATTCATGAGCAGGCATTCTGGAAACTTCAAAGTCTGACATCTCTGTTGTCATAATTTCCTGAGTAGGTCCATGAGCATTAATGAAAGTGAAAATCTGGGCCTGGCATGGTGCTCACACCTGTAATCCCAGCATTTTGGGAGGCTGAGGAGGGAGGATTGCATGAACCCAGGAGTTCGAGACCAGCGTGGGCAATATTGCAAGACCTTATCTCAAAAAAAAGTAAAAAATGTAGCCAGGTGTGGTGGTGCTCACCTGTAGTCACAGCTACTCGGGAGGCTGAGGTAGAAGGATCACCCAAGTTCAGGAGTTCAAGACTGCAGTGAGCCATAGTCGTGCCACTGCACTCCAGCCTGGGAGACTGTATGAGATCCCAACTCAAAAAAAAAAAAAAAAAAGAAAGAATGAAAGAGAAAGTCTGCTGGGAAGAATGAGTTATGAATCACTTCAGAAATGACACTTCTTTGTCCTCTGGATAGGAATCATTTTAATTATTTAAAATGTTTGTGCCAGGCACAGTAGCTCACGCCTATAATCTCAGCACTTTGGGAAGCAGGGACAAGAGGATTGCCTGAGCCCACCAGTTCGAGACCAGTCTGGGCAACATGGCAAGACCTCATCTCCATAAAAATCAAGAAATTAGCTGGGCATGGTGGCGCATGCCTGTAGTTCCAGCTACCTGGAAGGCTGAAGCAGAAGGATTGCTTAAACCCAGCAGGTCAAGGCTATGGTGGCCGTGAGCATGCCACTGCATTTCAGTCTGGGCAACAGAATGAGACTGCAACTCAAAAAAAAAGTTTCCATGACCTCCTAAAATAGGTACTGTCTTTACCAACATTCAAAGTCTAATTTTAATCACATTAGTCACCCTGTTATCTAACCCTGTTTTATTGGTTAGGCAATTGGTTCATTGGCAAGAACAAGGATTGAACAAACATAGCCTGGGCTTTTTGTTAGCCTGGATTGGTGTGTCCTTGCTGCAAAATGCCAGTTTGAGTCACCTGGTTCCTGGCTTCTTTGTAAAAATGAAAGGTTTGGCATGGATGACCTCAGAGGTCCAAGACGGCTCTGAAATTCTGTCAAAATTCCATTACCAAAGGATAGTACTTTTAAATACCCCCAAAGAGCAGTAGTAAAGATTCACAGGCTGGGCACAGTGGCTCACACCTATAATCCCAGAACTTTGGGAGGCCAAGGCAGGAAGGTTACTTTGAGTCTAGGCATTTAAGACCAGCCTGGGCAACACAGCAAGACTTTGTCTCTACAAAAATTTAAGAAATTAGCCAGGCATGGTGATGCACACCTGGAGTCCCAGCTACTTGTGAGGCTGAGGTGGGAGGATAGCCTGAGCTCAAGAGGTCAAGGCTGTGGTGAACTGTAATCATGCTACTGCAGTACAGCCTGGGTGAGAGTGAGACCTCAACTCAAAAAAAAAAAAAAATTCACATGCCGGGCTCGGTGGCTCAGCCTGTAATCCCGCACCTTTGGGAGGCTGAGGTGAGTGAATTGCCTGAACCCGCGGGTTCGAGACCCGCCTGGGCAGTGAGACCTCATCTCTACAATAAATAAAAAAAATCATCCGGGCATGGTGGCGCATGCCTGTAATTCTGGCTATTCGGAAGGCTGAGGCGGAAGGATCGCCTGAGCCCAGCAGGCCGAGGCTGCAGTGGCCGGGAGCGGCCACTGCACTCCAGTCTGGGCGACAGAGTGAGACTCCAACTCAAAAAAAAAAAAAAAAAAAAAAAAAAATTCACAGATTATTATTACAGATACCAGAGTCTATCTTTCCTTTCAGATTTCCTGTGCTCAAGATGAGAAAAAACATAATGTTCTGTTCCCTACTTTCTATTTCTAGTCTTCCACATGCTTTCCTCTTTTCTCCTTGATGGTAATACTCCTCACTTTGTTTTAAAGAGTTTAGGAAACAAATATGTCAAAGGATGTCACTCATTGTTAGCCTTAACAAAAATTAAACTGTGGTGGTAATAAAATACAGTATTAAAGGCACGGGGCAGGAAGAGAATGGTTCTGCCGGGTTCCATCCATCCGAGGAGTTGTACATTCAGGGTATACTCGCCATGTTGATGAGTGTGTTGATGGAGAAACCAGTTTTAAAAGATGGATCTTGGCACTGTGCCCTACAAATTGTGAAACGGTGACTCTCTCAGAAGAGGGGAAGTAGGATATCCCAAAGCATAGACTGCATTGCAGCTGGACTCCAGGAACTTAACCTGGAAAACCTAGCTGGGAGGTGTCTTAGGTCTGGCTCTCCGGAAGCAGAACTATAACAGGGATTTTTGTTTAAGTCATTTATTAAGAAGGTGCCCTCTGAAGAATTGAGGAATGCAGGATAGAGCAGGGAAGTAGGCCAAGCACAGATGTGGTTTTAACCAAAATCTAGCCTCCGCCTGATCCCATGGGGAGCTCTGGAGTGTGAATGTCATCCCCAGGTAGCATCACTTGAAGCAACGAGGTCAGGCCTTTTTATTCTTGCATGAGGCAGGAATTGGCTATAGGCTGCCCCTCCCCTATGGAATGGGAGTGAGGGGACTGCAAAACCTCTCAGGCTTTTCTGGTCCAAGGCAGCTCCCCTCAGCTGAGACACTTCCCCTGGTGGGAGGTAGGGGGTGGAGGGGGGGTGCGTCTGTGAGCCATTGGCCACCAAGACTGATAGCAGTTGGGGCACGGCTGCATCTGCCTGGTAAAGGCCACCTGGCAGAGCTCCAGAGGGTCTACTGCAGGGGGCTGAGGAGAAGCAGTATGTGATCTTGTAGCATCTGTGATCAAAGTGCTCTTGTGACTGTGTTTCAGACTGCATGTCAGGCCCATGTCCTTTTGGGGAGGTTCAGCTTCAGCCCTCAACGTCAGTGTTGCCTGCGCTCAACAGAACTTTCATCTGGGACGTGAAAGCTCACAAGAGCATTGGTCTAGAGCTGCAGTTCTCTGTTCCTCGCCTGAGGCAGGTTGGGCCAGGCGAGAGCTGCCCGGACGGAGTCACTCACTCCATCAGCGGCCGCATCGATGCCACCGTGGTCAGGATTGGAACGTTCTGCAGCAATGGCACCGTGTCCCGGATCAAGATGCAAGAGGGAATGAAAATGGCTTTACACCTACCATGGTTCCACACCAGAAATGTCTCTGGCTTCAGCATTGCAAACCGCTCATCTATAAAACGTGAGCATGCCCCTCCCCACTGTTTGATTAGGCCGAAACATAGAAAACCATCATTGTTCTAGGTCAGAAATGGCCACCGCTACTCAGGAGGCTGAGATGGAAGGATGACCTGAGTTCAGGAGTTTGAGGCTGTGGTGAGCTGTGAGTATGCCACTGTACTCCAATCCGGATACCTGGGCAACTGGGCAACAGACCCTGGCTCAAAAAATAAAAAGGGGAATCGCCAAATGTCAGCAGTTCTATATGATTCTACCTAAGTCTGCTCTTCTATAAGTGACATGGGTCACTCATTCCTCTTCTCTAGTAAACAAACATTTTCACTCCCTCTGTCCTTTTGGCAAGTGATGTCTGACTTCAAAAAAAACCTACCTCAATTGTTCCATTTCTAACTTCTTTGCTCTTTCTTCTCTCTCCCTCATATCTTCGATAAGTGTATCAGTGATGTACAGAGCTCGCTCACACTGGCTCATGAGAACTGACGCTAAGTTTAGTTTAGGAATTTTGTGAGCTCCTGTTAAACAGAGGCATTATTAAAGAATAGAATTTATATGCTTACAATTAAATCAATTATTTTAGAAACAAAAGTAGTAAATACTCAAACTCAAAACTTCCTAATTAACACCACTGCCCCTCAGCCACAGATAACTAGGACAGGGTCTAATCTTTTTCTGGTTTGGGTTCCACTCCCAACAGGACTGTGCATCATCGAATCTGTGTTTGAGGGTGAAGGCTCAGCAACCCTGATGTCCGCCAACTACCCGGAAGGCTTCCCTGAGGATGAGCTCATGACATGGCAGTTTGTTGTTCCCGCACATCTGCGGGCCAGCGTCTCCTTCCTCAGCTTCAACGTCTCCAACTGCGAGAAAAAGGAGGAGCGGGTCGAGTACTACATCCCAGGCTCCACCACCAACCCTGAGGTGTTCAAGCTGGAGGACAAGCAGCCTGGAAACATGGCTGGGAACTTCAACCTCTCCCTGCAGGGCTGTGACCAGGATGCCCAAAGCCCAGGGATCCTCCGGCTGCAGTTTCAAGTTTTGGTTCAACACCCACAAAATGAAAGCTGTAAGTGAGCCCCACTCTACTTTCCCCTCTTCCTCCAGCACCTTCTTTGTTTTCTGGGTAGCCTGCCTGGCATGAGGTTCCCTTCCTGTTTCTCATCTGTGGTTTCTGAAACACTTGGACTCTGGACCCTGTAAGAGTTTCAGGAAGTGGGTTGCTAAGCAGTAAGACAGACTTGTTGGTGAACACCTAGCATGTAGTTTTGTTTCAGCACAGTCAGAAGCAACACGATCTTGCGATCAGGGTGCAAAGTTGTTTTTAATGAAGGCATTGAAAGATCACTTTCTAGATCCCATGTCTTGTCCCTACAAATGTGAATCTGGATTATCACCAGCAGCGTCAACAATGATGGTGGGAATTAACATTGTTTTTTGGTTCAGCACCCCCTACTGTGAGCACACACCCTGTATACCAAGTCCTGTGCTAAGCACATCACTTACACAATCTCAGCTATTCCTACCCTATGAGGGAGGTGGGAATTACCTTCCTTTACTAACGAAAAACCAGAAGGTTCAGAGAGGTTATGGGACTAGCCTCACATCACATAGCTTGTCAGGAGCACAGCAAGCTCAGAACCCAGAGCCTGTGCTCTGGCCCATACTGAATCCCATGTGGGTTGATGAGAATGAGGTTGGATATCATTCCACAAACGATACTGAGATGCCATGAACCTAGAACAGGGGAGAGTCAACGCCAGGACTAGGGCAAGGTGCAGTGCCCAGGGTGCAAAATTTAAGGATGCACCCACTCTCAGGGTCGTGTTAGTACAAGGTCAATGCCTGAGGGTGAGCACCACCCTTGGTGCCCAGCTTGCCTCACCCTAGTCCTGGCCCTGAGGGGAATAGTGTAGATTTTGAGATAAAAGGTACAAAATGAACTCAGAGCAGCTGTTCCAGGGCTATCTATGAACTGGACTCTGTGAAGGAGGGAATTGTGACAAGTGGTCTTGAACCAGGACATTCCTGACATGTGCTGAGAATGGGCTCTATCTAGAGGGCTGATTCTTATTCTTGTTTTTGCTATTATTTACTTCTGGGAAGTAGGCAGAGCCACAGCAGAAAAATTAAGTGGGAGTGTGGACTGGCATGATGTTTATTTTTATAAGGCTGGTAAACATCTGAAACGTGTCAGTGTGGGATCCATTTGAGGAATTGCCCAATGAGTGCTGTCCTGGAAATGCCTATAGGTGTACGTGTGTGTGTGTGTGTGTGTGTGTGTGTGTGTGTGTCTGCTGAGACATTTTCATGATTACACTCTCACATCTGTATGGTCAGAATGTTGGAAACAGCCATGAAAGGATTTAGAAACACAGTGGGTTTGGGTTCTAGAAGACAGAGGGATTTGTGTATCATCTCAGTCATGATAAAGTGCTGCTGAGAACCTCTGATTAATTTTATTTCATGTACCATCAACTGGGTTGATTTCTAAAACTAATCCAGTTGTTACGCATGCTATAAACAGCATCAAGAAGGGTATGGATTTAGTTTTGAGATAAATAAAGTGTGATAGACTGCCATGGAGAGGTGTTTAGCAGTGTCAGGCCTCTAAGGAAAGTGTGGTTTGTAATTTTTCTACAAGAATGAGTGGACTTGATCGGCAGGAATAAAATTAGGTTGGACTGGACTGCCTGAGAGCTCTGGTTTCTGGGCAGCTCCATCTTAATCCTTTGAACCCCTACATGGATCCCAAGTTTCAAGGCTAGCCTAAGGAAGCTAGTCCTGTGCACCCCACATTTGTCTGATCCATTCTTAATTCTCTCTCGTTCAATAAATTTTGGTGGGCAGCTTGTTTTATAGGCAGAAAACCCGGTGATTCAGGGCAGCGACCTGGAGTTGACCTATATGAATTTGAATTCTGTTCCCCTATTTACTGTGTGACCATGAGCAAGTCGCTTCACCTCTGTGTGACTCAGTTCTTCGTCTGTAAAATGAAGGTGATAGGACTGCCTTCACAGAGGTGTTGTGAGGATGAGGTATCACAGTGCCGGGCAGGTAGTAAGCACTCTTTAAATATTATTCTGCAAGGTTCTAGGTCAAAGAATAGAGTCAGAGTTGAAAAAGACACAGCACTTGTCCTCAGAGATTAGACTGTGGCCCAAAAGAGAAATGATTTGTAGGATACAGCAAGTCACTCATAGAAGGAGTTTCAGTGGCGTGTGATGGGGTCAGAGGCAGGAGAGCAGGCCTCAGGTGGGGAGGAATACCACAGGGAGACTTGTGGCAGAGTCTGGCCCCCTCAGCTGCCCGGGAGGCCCCATCGTTGCCGATGGTGTGTGCCCTTCCTTGCCACAGGAAGGGGCTCTATGTGCTGGTTCTGCTTTCTTAGCCTTGGAGGTGTGAAAGAAGCCAGGAGAGAGGGGCTTCAAGGTGACTGAGTCCCATGAGTCGAAGCCTCTGTCCTTGCTTCTCCTGCAAGTGCTGCAGGAAAACCTTCCAGGACTGGTCTCCTGCCGAGTCCTCTACTGCTGGACCTCTCTGAGCCTAGCTCAGCCTTTGCCCTAACTTGACCTTCCTTTGTCCCTAGCAGCAGGGAACAGCTGCCCAGACCAAAGCCACGACCCTAAGAGTACACACATGGGTGGTTTGTTTGCCTCACATGGTGTGTTGTATTTATCAGTCTGCATGTCTGGGTCTCACTAAACTCCTGCCAGCTGGGAACCTTGTCTTACTCCTCTTCCTTCATCTACCACAGTTTCTGGCACATTCTACGCCCTCCATAAATCCTCGTTGCATCAATCTCAGGCAGCATCTTACCCAAAGTGACTCGAGAGCCAGAAGCACCACACAAATTCAAAGCCCCTCTGAAGGGGCGAGGCAGAGAGGATGAAGTGGGGCACCCACAAGGGTGAATGCTTGGGAGGTCAAACAGGAGAAGAACATCAGAGACAAGAGCAAGGCCAGGTGTGGTGGCTCACGCCTGTAATTTTAGCACTTTGAGAAGCCAGGGCAAGAGGATTGCCTGAGCCAAGGGACTTGACACCAACCTGGGCAATATGGTGAGACCTCTTCTCTAAAACAGCTCAAAAGCATAGCTGGGCTTGGTAGTATGCCTGTAGTCCCAGCTACTCGGGAGACAGAGCACCAGCCAGTCCAGAACCTTCCACAACAGGATCTGAGCACAGTGGGCCCATGCTGAAAAAAGTTTTTTTTTCCTGAATGTGGGCAACAGGCACATGTTACCTTGAACCTAATTGTCTGCAAAAACAAACAAACAAACAAACATAAAAACCCTCCCAACCCACTCTCTGCTTTGCAAAATTATCAGGTAGGTTCAAGCTAGACCCAGAGGACTTCTACAAACAGGCTATGTTTTAAGTTGACTCACATATGACTGCCTAGAACCTAAGGAATAACTGATGTGGCCAACTGTGACCATGTGTGTGAGTACTGGTGACTTAAGCTGCCCAGAAAGTATAGCCAGAATTTCCGGGAGCTCAGTTCACATACAACTCTACCAAACTCACTTTGTTTTCTTTCTTTCTTTCTTTCTTTCTTCCTTCCTTCCTTCCTTCCTTCCTTCCTCCCTCCCTCCCTCCCTCCTTCCTTTTATTTTTTATTTTATTTATTTGCTTATTTTCAGTCAGGGTCTCATTCTCTCCCACAGGCTGTAGTACAGTGGCACAATCACAGCTTGCCGCAGTCTCAAACTTTCTGGGCTCAGGCAATCTTTCTATCTCACCCTCTTGTGTAGCTGGGACTATAGGTGTGTGCCACCATGCCCAGCAAATTTTTTTATTTTTGTAGAAACAAAAATATGTTGCCTAGGCTGGTCTTAAACTCTTGGGCTCAAACAGTCCTTTCACCTTGGCCTTCTAAAGTGCTAAGACTACAGGCGTGAGCCACCATGCCACTTGTTTTCAAGTGCTCTATAATGTACTCTCTTCTCTTTTTCAGTACAGTATTACTATGTCATGCCTGGTGTTCTTACCCCTTCTGTCATGCAGCCTCTTTTTCTTTTTCTCTTTCTTTCTTTCTTTCTTTCTTTCTTTCTTTCTTTCTTTCTTTCTTTCTTTCTTTCTTTCAAGTCAGGGTCTTACTCTGTCACCCAGGCTAGAGTACAGGAACATGATCACATGATCACAATAATCACCACTCACGGCAGCCTTGACCTGCTGGACTCAGGCAATTCTTACACCTCAGCCAAGTAGCTGGGACTACAGGCACGTGCCACAACACCCAGCTAATTTTTTTTTTCTTGGTAGAAATGTGGTTTCGCTATGTTGTCCAGGTTGATTTCAAACTCCCGGATTCATGCAATCTGCCCATCTCAGCCTCCCAAAGTGCTGGTATTACAGGCATGGGTCACCACACCCAGCTCTAATTTTTATTTTTATATAATTTCTAGAGGATTGAAGTGACCCTGTTAATATTGATTACATGAGTTTATAGTACAGTATTCTACCCGTCTACATGATTCTTTTTAGGGAGAGCCTTCTAGACTACTATGGGCTACTGCTTTATGCATTCTTCTCTAGCTTTGGAAAATATGTTTGCTTTCTCTGAAAATACCAAACAAAGTAGTGTCTTCAAAATCCAGGGGTCTCTAGGTGATCATGATTTACATAAAGTAGATGGATATTTCCACTGTATTACATGTGACATTTCATTAACCACTCTGAATAAATGTTCATTGTGGAAGAGTTACATTGCTTCTTCTTGTGTTTGGTATAACCTCCCGAAGCTACCTGGAACCCTTAACTAGTTGTTGAGTTTGTTTTGGTTTTGTTGTTGGGTAACTTGTATTCTGTGAGTCTTAAATTTGTCCTGCCCAAGTTGATGTATCTTGTGGCCTTTGACTTATTCCCATAAAGCCCATTTGGGAAAAAAAAAATCTCTCTCTACAGAGAACCACAGCGAGTCCTTTGTGAAATGTTGGTCAATCACTTAACCCCTGCAAAGGTTCTCAGTGTGGTTTTTAAAAGTGTCAATAACTATCAAATAGTAAGGGGGCTCTTTTTAAACTTCAGGCTCAAATGTTTTTTATATAAAAGCTTCGACAATGTT